GGGGAAAAGCCCCCCCCCCCCCCCCCCCGACTTGCTACACCCTCCTTTCGGGTAGTTGTAGAGAGCGATAAGGTCTCCCCTCAGCCTCCTTTTCTCCAGACTAAACAACCCCAGTTCCCTCAGCCGCTCCTCATAAGACTTGTGCTCTAGACCCTTCACCAGCTTGGTTGCCCTTCTCTGGGCACGTTCCAGCACCTCCATGTCTTTCCTGCAGTGAGGGGCCCAAAACTGAACACAGGACTCGAGGTGCGGCCTCACCAGTGCCCAGTACAGGGGAACGATCACCTCCCTACTCCTGCTGGCCACACTATTTCTGATACAGGCCAGGATGCCGTTGGCCTTCTTGGCCACCTGGGCACACTGCTGGCTCACATTCAGCCGGCTGTCGACCAACACCCCCAGGTCCTTTCCCACTGGGCAGCTTTCCAGCCGCTCTTCCCCAAGCCTGTAGCGCTGCATGGGGTTGTTGTGACCCAAGTGCAGGACCCGGCACTTGGCCTTGTTGAACCTCACACAGTTGGCCTCGGCCCATCGATCCAGCCTGTCCAGATCCCTCTGTAGAGCCTTCCTGCCCTCAAGGAGATCAACACTCCCGCCCAGCTTGGTGTCATCTGCAAACTTACTGAGGGTGCACTTGATCCCCTCGTCCAGTTCGTTGATAATTACATTAAACAGAACTGGCCCCAGTACTGAGCCCTGGGGAACATCACTTGTGACCGGCTGCCAACTGGATTTATCTCCATTCACATTCACTCTTTGGGCTCAGCCATCCAGCCAGGTTTTTACCCAGCAAAGAGTACACCCATCCATGCCATGAGCAGCCAGTTTCTCCAGGAGAATGCTCTGGGAAATGGTGTCAAAGGCTTTATTAAGTCCAGGTAGACAACATCCACAGCCTTTCCCTCATCCACAAAGTGGGTCATGTTGTCATAGAAGGAGAATACAGACAAGAATATTGTCTGCACTATTTTTTGCAGACTGATTTACTTAAAACACAACATAAAAACAGGGCAACTAAGGCTTCCAAATCAGATTGCTGGCTTGGATGCTTCTCTCTCTAGACTCAGGAGCCTGACCTTTGTCATTTGCTGTAATTTTTCTTCCCTTGTAACCTGGCTATGTACTCATTCGGAAAAAAGCCAGTGCAGAAACAGGTCCTCACAGTCTACCCTGTACCCCTCCCGTTTCTCCTTTTCCTCCTCTCTCCAGCATACTCTCCCTGTTTCCCCTCTGTGATGCAGATTTATAAACATTCTTGTCGGTGCACCATAAAGTGCAAGAATGTGACAAATGAGCCCACGCAGAAATAAATAAATAAAGATCCATGGAAACTTTGAACCTACAGCTAGATGGCCTACAGATGCCCCAGTGAAAGGCATGGGTTTGGGAGCGTTCCTTACTTGTGTAGCCTAGTGTGGGGCTGATTAAAAGGGCAGGGGGGGTAGGGACCAGATTTTGAAGTTGAGGAATCCCTCCAGAAACCACACAGATTTTAGCAAGAAGGTCAACATTGAAATATCAGTGATAAGCTCAGCCTGTTGCTATAGTGCTGCTTGTTCTTTCAGGCATGCATTACATTTGTCTTACAGCAAGAACTTACTAGAAAATCCCTACATTTTAGCTAGGAGCTGTAACAGATACCTTCTTTCCTCCGGAGATCCAGGACATAGGGTGATTAAAATATGCATACAATTAGGATTACACTTAATTCACCTGCTAGAAGTCACAAGGTGACCAGCTGTGGATAAGCACAGCTGGAATAGATTGCTAGCAATTTATAATTGTCATACACAATTCCGGGAATGCTGAAACATAACCTTATGCTGGAGTGTCTTCAATCTTCAAATAGTTTTCTTACAATGATGGAGCAAGAGCCTGATGTGCAGACAGTGTGATCACTGGTTTATGTGATGCTTTATTTGTGTGTAAATCCCATGGAAAGAATCAAGCAGAAATGGAATGTAAATACCAAGGGAAAACTCACATTTTGCAGTGTTGGTGTTTGGAGTCTGGAGGTGGGGAATGATGACAGAGAATGAGTTAAAAGTGGAAGAACTGGTGTAAACAAATAAAGAATGCTCACAATGAATGAGAACCAGATTCAGAGAAGTTGGGTATGTGCAGTAGGCTAGATTAGCTCAGTGCAAGTCCTGCTTACATGGCAGTTGGCTCAGTCTTTGAGTAACCTTGGCAGTCTCTGAGGATTGGTGTCTCACAAACACAAAATGTACTTCTATGGTTTTTACAAATATTTTTACTTAGAAACGCAACCTCTTCCAGCATCAGATATGTCTTTTTCTCTTTCCACCTACTTATCCTCCAGGATACATATTTATTGTAACTTTTGCAAATAAATCTCTCCTTTCAGCCCACATCTCCTTTGCTATGTGTTCCTCCAACATACATGCATATAGCCCATGGCTGTGATGCAGTGCTTCTGTAACACGACTCCCTCTTCATCTCTAAGAGCTACAGATGTTTGTTACAGGAAATTTCGTATGGGCATCACTGAAGTCAGGATAATTAACATTCAGTATAGATTAGTCTGACTGAGAGCAAAATGTCATCTTTTCATTAGGCAGAAAAATGCGAGTGCTATAAATCACTGTCAGTGTGGTCCATGATAACACTGCAGTCCAGTGTAAGTGTTAGCTGAGCTATCGTGCATTTCTCACCTTATTCTTGGGCTTGACCTTCTTAATCTACGAGAGGTCACACACTGCGGATGCTGTGGTGCAGGACCCCAAGGGACCGTTGCCACATGGCTCTGGTGCAATGAGAAACACGCTGGTGGTAGAACGGCTTCCTCAGCCCCGCTCCCTCCTGTGCGCTGCAAGCCCACAGCGCTGGCAGCGAGCAGAGCGCTCTCCGTTCTCCTTCACGTGCAGAGCTGTTGTACATAACGTAATGGAATATATGAAGCCACGTGTGGGGAAAACCCGGGTGACAAATTGTGGCAAAGGACCTGAGAAATCAACACATCTTTGAGCCTCTGCCTTCCCACAGACTTGCAGTCTGCAAGAGCTTTTTGCTGATGCCCCAGTCCAGCAACTCACACGCTTGAAGGACCCTGCTAAAATGGGACTGAAACGGAAACCTCCCGACGCAAAACTCCTTGACCGAGGGGTATGTTCACTTTAATGAGTTCTGAGTTGCCCCAAGAAACCAAAGTCAAGTGCAGAAAATTTAAGTAGAGCATTTTGCTTCCTTAGTCTGCTTGTAGATGCTGCAACATTTCATACCTGAGCATTGCCCCAAACATGGCCAGTGCAGCTGCTTGAAGGCTGTGACAAGTCAACTGCTCAGATGGTTGGGCAACTTAATATTCCTCTGTTTAACAGCTCCATATAATAATTTTGCAATTACTTTGTCGACACAAGGGGCTTTTGCAAGAACAATCTGTTATAGTCATAGACACAATGTATGTACTAAACTGTGGAGTTCGATCTATGCTCTGAAAAGGTAAAGCAGCCCTATTCTGCGCTAACATTTAGCACAGTGCACACAATAGCGAAGCAACAAAGACTAATACATCAAGTGTTATTACAGTTTCTCATTAAATTACAAACGTTGTTTAGAGAAGGAAGTGTTGTTTCCAGTGCTCATTCTTCTTTATGAAAGGTTAGCAGCTTTGTGTAGCTTTATGAGCTAACTAACTGGTGTGTTTTCCAAGTGGTGACTAAGTAGGTTGTCTCAGTGTGGGAAGTGAGTTAACAGTGATGGAAACAGATTAAAGCTATGGATTAAACAAAGGTATGATGGGTTTTGCAGGACCTCAAACTGCACCTTCATCTTGTAGAAACCATGAAGAGTCAATGCATTAAGGACTAAGAATGTCAATTCACAAAGAAAACTGAGACCTTAGTCTTTGTGTTGCTTCCCTTATACGCCTGCTGAAGGAAGAAGCTATATGCAGTAACTGAAAAAGGTGACTGTAGATTTTCAAAGATGTACAGTGATTCACCTGCATTTGTGTGTCAAACACTAAGCAAGCCCTTCACAAACCAAGGCTTAGTCTGTTGATGCCTTTCAGCCATGTAGAATAAGTTCTTCGTTGTTTTTATTTGTTGTAAAAAATGCAACACTTTTGCACATCTAGGGGGGAAATACATTTCTGGGGTTTTTTTGGCTTAGCATATTCCACTGCATGTTTCCATCGCTTTGATAACATATGCTGTTTGGTTCTTCTGACAGACATACTGAGAATTACAGTTTAGAAATGTGATACACATATAAAAGGTAGTATCTATTTAATTTAGAACTGACAGCAGCTCTTTTTCTCTGCTGGTGAGTGTCTGGGTAGGATTCAGCTTTCACTTAGACATCAACAAGGTAGATGTCCAAGTGAGAGGTAGTCAAACAGATGTCCATCATAGGAAAAGGAAATTGTCCTACGGAGATGGCTACATCACATGTGCATATCTGAGAAATAAATATATGGCACATGTTATCTTTTGCTTTTATATGAAAAGCTGGCCTTTATTTTCTGTTCTTCTCGTCTACACCACAAAGCCTGCTGCTGTACTCTTGCTAGCTGCTTAGGTGCCTGGGTTCTGCTGAAGGTGAAGCACAAATACAATCTGAAAATAGATACTTGGAAATAAAATTTATTGCTGGCTGATATGCTGACAAGATGTCTCTGATCAAAACTCTGCCAGCCGCTTGAGAATGGCAGAGGCAGCCAGGCCTGTCCACGTGAGCACAGTGTCAAGGAGGTAGACAATACTCCCTGCTTCAAACACTAATAGATCATGAGGGAGGCTGTGAAGATCGTAAGATTGGCATAAAATATCATGAACTCTAGAAAAGTTATAACAGTGCCCTTGGAGTCTTACCTGGTTCTGAACATGAAGGAAGAAGACACTCAGCTTCTACTGCTGGAGAATTTTATTGATGCCCACTGATTTATCTCAAGAACCTCTGGGTGTTTCTCCTGGGGTCCGCTCAGCAGCAGCAGGATGATGGCACAGCACAAATGTCTGCCCTTGGACACCTGGAAGCACCGTACCCACCATGAGCAAAACCATCTTTTGTCACTCCGAGCCCCCTCTTGCTGAATCCCCTCCGACCTCATTTTGGAAATGTAAAAGTCTCATTTGCACAGATTTGCAGCTTCTCATCACTCCACAATCTCAGCCTACAAGGGCTTGCTAGGGAAGAGCATCAGGGGGTTGTGCACGTACTCCAGGGGTTGTGATGCAAAGTTGCTGCTGCGTCCCTGGAATGAAGATAATTTGAAGGCACGTTGTTTGAGAAGGAAGAATTTAATTTGTGAAAATTACCAAAGTCTGTGGCGAGCTGCATCTTAGTGCGTGTGCGAGATTAGGCAGAGGCCCTGTGTTATTGAGGACATAACTAGCAGCGTCACAGCCTGCTGCATGGTGCTGTGTGCTCAGGGAAAAGAGGAGCAAATCTTTCTCTGGCAGAGCTAGGCTGAAAAAATTGGGTCAGAAGCCAGTGTACCTCCACTAAATGGTTGCATTCATTTAGCATCATTTTCAATTACATCATTTACTCCCTCTGATGACTCTGTCTTCTGGTTTGTCTGCTTACTCTTAAAAAAAAAACCAACCCAGCAAACTAAAAAAACGAAACCACCTATATGTTGGAAATATACATGTGAGACTCATTGTAAAGCACATTTTTCAAGTCACTATCTATGAATCCATTTGCTGACAAGATTTCTTTTTTTACCAGAATGTATCTCTCCAATTTATTTTCTTTACAGGAAAGTCCCTTGGACATGGAGCTTTTGGAAAGGTGGTACAAGCATCTGCTTTTGGAATTAAGAAATCACCAACGTGCAGAATAGTTGCTGTGAAAATGCTGAAAGGTATCTTGCTGCAAAGCTGGGCTGGAAAAAATGATGCCTTATGTAGTGTCCCTCTTCTAATATGATTCTGTCGAAAGCAAGAGAGTGTGATGTTATCCCCCCACCAATAACTCTGAAGCCTCCAAAATACGTACACCAAATTTCAGCTCCACCACAAGTGAAATGTCAGAAGTATGAAATAAAAATTACATTCACAGTAAAAAGGGTGATAAATAGTCACATGATATAGGAGAAAGTTTCAGATGCAATGAGAACCTGATTGACTAATTTTTTTGAAAACCTGGTTCCAATCCTTCAGATCTCAGAAAGAATGAGAGAGTCACTTTTGCAGGATCAGAAGGGGCAATTAGATTTCTTGCATACCCTACGTTGTACCATTATGCTAGACTAACCCTATACTGAACATCGTAAATGAAATTTAGCTGAAGCATAAAGCATCCACCTTGACGTGAAGACACTCTGGTGGAAGCTTTCTTATTTTCCTTGGTCATTAGTTCCGATGGTTGATCATCTCATTGTTAAAAACAAATGCCTTATGTCTAATTTGCATCTGTCTGACTTTCACTTTTCATTCTAACCCTCTCCATTAGGTTATGTAATGATTTTTTTTTTTTTCATGAAGGCCCTTTCATTAAGCTAAACAGATTGAGCAGTATAAATCTTGGAGTTGTCGTGCAGGTGTGTCCTCTCTGAACCATCTGAAGGCTCATCACACGGTGCTTAGGATGCTGACACCCGGGTTGTGTAATGGATTTGCCAGCGCTGTTCATACACCAGCGCTCTTCCCAAAGTGAAATCATCTCCCAGCTATTCACTGCCACTTTTCTCATCGGAGCAGAAAGGACAAAGACCCTCATCAATTTGAACAGGGAGCTTGGGAAGTTAGCAGGCATGATGATATTCAGTCATAGCCTGCAGCAGCTATGGCTGAATTCCCTAACCCAGAGTCCTGGTGGTATCCCTTCCTATGTACTTAGCTTTTCCTTGTTTATATATCTAAGGATCATAGCAGGCTTTTTTTTTGCATTGCCCTGGGAACTTATGCTGAATTGCTTCTCTCTCTTAATCCGTGAATCCTTCTCTGTGTCATTCTCTGCCAGGACACATCCCCTGTTCTGCCAGCAAGGCTTGGACCCCTGATGCTCTCAGTTGGCTCTGTTCAGGCATAGTTTGAATACATCCCTCTTACCCAGTGGCTTCTAGCTTCACAGCTGCTTACTTATCAGTTATCGGGAGATCTGTACATGTCACTTCCAGCCCTTAGAGGGGCATGTGCGATACTTTCAGACCTACAGGCTGTCCCTGCAACACTCAACCTGAAATAGCTTCCATTTCTTGCCAGCGATGACCTGGCAGCTGTACTCCATGTAGGATGTGCCCTCTTGATATTGTCCTCAACAGGCTTATTCTGCAATATAACGTCAAATGCTTTTGCAGGGGGTGGTACGTCCTACTGTGATATCCAGGATCATCTCCAAGGAGGGAATTTGCAGCTGAGAGGGTTGCGAACCTTCCTGCTCTCTCTTGTTCTAGAAGCACCAGAAATACCCCGTTGGCCAATGCAAAATGAAAAACTACCTTGCAGCAAGCATGTCTGGGAAATGGAAGGAAACTAGAGCTTTGGTCCCTGTCCAGACCTTCTGCAGCAGTGGGCCAATAGCCATCTGTGTCACTGGTTTCAGTGGATGGCCTGTCACCTGGGTCGTTGCCTAACCCCTGGTTAACTAGGCTGTTTTGCCAGCATGCAGACATACATGCTGGGAGAGTGATGTGCCAGATTCAATGTTTCTTTATGTACATCAGCAGGCTTCTTGTGCCAGCCAGCACTATCAAGGCACCAGGCGTTGCTCCTGGAATAGATGGGAGCAGACGGCAGCTGCAAGAAGTCTTCATGGTGGGATTCACGTGTGTGTGTGCAGGGTAGATGCTTGTATCTGAGATAGTCACTCAAATTCCCTTTATTGTCAGGGGTGAGAAACAACATTTCATGCCATCCTAAGGCAGATCCCTGCGTATGGTGAGCTGAGCGCTTGTTTAGCTGTGCTGACTATCAAGAGAGCCTATGGTGACCAGATCCTCTGTAGGTATCTTCACTATGGACATCTAAAGTTAGGGGAGATCTGCCCCATCCCTTGTGTCCTCATTAGATTACACAGGAACTTTGCAGTCATTCATGGGCTTTGTCCTCACAGAGTTCTCATGAGGTGCAGGGAAAGTGTCACCACCTATACAGATGAATAGTGGGTCACTGGGTAGATGGCAAGTTTTGTGTGGGGCCACCAAGAAAATCTGTTTTCATTCAGATGTTGAAACAAAGCCCTTTAAGACCTAGCTCTAGGTTCTTTCCACTGGACTGATCTTCTTACTCTTGGTGTCACTAAACTGCAAAATTCCTTTTGGATCTACACAAAGCAATATGTTTTTTCTTGCTTTCATACCAAAATAAAATTCTGCAGTAAAACATTTTCTTGGAGGGAATTGTAAGTTTCACTCAACACTAAGTAGAATCTTTTGGGTTATTACTATTACTATTATTATTACTATTGATCATAACTAGTAAGGGTGTGATGCAGTCATCTAACTTTAACCAACTAAAATTTGCTTCCCTGGTCTATCTTAATACTCCAGGCTTCCTCTATACTGAACGGAACCAGACAAGCATCAACAAGGGGTGGCTCATCTCTTCCCTATACAGATGGCTAAAGCTGATGGCTGCATCAGCCTCCCAAAATGCTTTGCTCTCGCTACTGACTCCTGATTAGTTCAGGCTAGTACACAACCCTTAGACAGCTGAAGTCAGGTCAGCTGAAACCTACTCTAGATAGAGTTAATTACAGTCTTGAAATCCCTTTTTATTTGTTCTTTCATTTTTTGGCTGAAACGACAAAACTATTCATGTGAAAAAAATTTCTCTCAGTTCTAAATATAACAGAGTCTACTGGGAGGAAGTTGAGTGCCTAACTCTTTATGGGTTTTATTGCAAGTAAGAGGATGCTGAGCAGGGAGGAATAGACAAAGAACATCAACACATGAAGTACATCCAGTAATGGAGTTTATTCCAATGGAAAGTAGCAAGAAGTGGTAAAGCCCAGCAGGACCAATTCTTTGCCATTTCACACTGACTTTATTTTGCATTTACAGAAGGGGCCACTGCAAGCGAGTACAAAGCACTGATGACTGAGCTGAAAATCCTGATCCACATTGGTCATCATCTCAATATTGTGAATTTGTTGGGAGCTTGCACGAAAAATGGAGGTAAAAGCATCTACACTGCACTGAAAATGGGTTTGGATCACCTCCCAATAACAGTCAGTTGGCCGTGTTGTTTTTCATCCAGAGGTCAAGCTATTAACTTGAAATATTTGAGCTCACCCTGTGCTTGGTGAAAAAAAGAGGAAGAGAAAAAGAGATTTTTAGTCACTTAATGAAGTGATTAAACATTTTCTTTACTTAAACTCTCTTTTAGTATTAATATAAGTGTGATTTTAGGACCATGCCACTTGTCCTTTATCTCACTCACTTCACTGCTCAAGCTCAAGTTAAACATGAACTGGAAAGGCTGGGAACAAGGGATATCAACTGCTGGGCCTGAGCAATGAGTCACAAGGCAGCTGTTGTAAAATCCTTCGTGATATTCCACTAAGAAAATCAAAGGGCCAGTATGAGCACTTGTTTGGTTTAGATATGTCACCTATTTTAGTTCAACAAGTGTGTGTGGGCTGCGGGACTCCAGTCTGAATGCAGACTGCCCGAAGAGGAAACGGAGGGTCCCTCAGGACTCAGGTTCATGACCCAGCTTTCAAAAATTAGGCCCTTCCCTGACTTCCAGAAACAGAATTGTTTTGCTACCATGTCCAGTGTCCTTCAAGCAGCCTTCTCCTTCATTAGGACATGTCGTTAGTTATTCTGGTCTCAAGTTATAGCTGCAGGCACGAACAACTGTTCTTCTCAGAACTGATGCCGCCTTGTATTGCTTTATGCTGTTTGTAATGCACTTTCCTTTTGCTCAGGGCCTCTGATGGTGATTGTTGAATACTGCAAGTATGGGAATTTATCAAACTACCTGAAGAGCAAGAGGAATTTCTTCTGCCCTAACAAGGTGAGGCGGCAGATGCCTCTGGTAGGGTTCATCTTACCTAACGTGTCGGTAACGCAGATGTCAGCCTCTGAGCTAGTCTCCTTCTACCAAAGGAGAGAAACAGCTTGTGGGTGCAGTTCACTTGACCTATTTTAATATTTGGTGTGGGATGTGTTATACCAAGAAAGGACTCATTTCTCTCCCCTGACTGTGCAAGGAGGCTGCTGGGAGTAATTTGGATGGAGGCATCTACAGCGAGAGGAAGTGAATCCTATCCAAAGTGTCCCCACATGCTCTCGCCCCACTGCTGACAAACCCATTCCTTGTGAGCTTGGGGTCACTTCAGAGGCTGGTGTCAGCGAAGCCGAAGGAAGTGGTTTTGCCCACTGATTTCAGTACTGCTGGGAACGCAACTGAGATAATGCCATTTACAGCTCATGTTCCAAGACACCCTAATATTCCAAGATTTGCAAATAATCTTATTATTGTGCGAGGAGAAGGGCTATCAAGAGGAAAAGAGATTAGAGTCTTGTCCTCAAATCCCACAGCCCTCTGAATCAAATCTACAGTGTGTTTCTTACTACAAACCTGAACCCAAATATGCCAATTATATCCCCGCTTTTGCATTTTCAGCGAAATCCCCTAAAGGATTAAGGGCTCTGAAGTGGGATTTAGGAGCCTGGACCCAGAACGGCAGTTCTCAAAACCCCCGCTCAGCTGTGCCAAAAGCTCAGCAGCATCTCAGGGGTTTTTTTTGGGAGGGCTCTGCAGGAGGGCACGCTTGGCAGGACCTTTGGCTGAGTCTCTGTTCCCAAGACTGTCCATGTTGGACTCCAATGTGCGGTTGTTGGCATAGGAGGCTCAGTGGGGAGCACGGCTCTGCGGGGTCCACCCTCGGGGCGGTCGGTCCCATTCTCCCCGGTGGTCCGGCACCCTTGGGAAGGGCACCCAGGCTGGAGGGAGGGAGCCTGGTTCTGTACCAGCACACACAGGACAAGAGGGAAGGGAAGAGGGGGCAAAAGCATGGTGAGGCAGCTAGGCTGCTCTCCAGGTAGCAGTGGGAAAGCATTTTCCAAACAGCGTTGCGTGTGTCCCATTAAACCGCCGTTGGCCGTACCATGAAAGCATTGAATAAAGGCATTGGGGAAGAGAGGCAGTCGCTTCCAACCGGAGCTGTATTTCAAACACAAAGTGCCCTTGCTCCTCGTTGGAAGGGCTTACAGTCCCACACCAGGCATTCTGCAGGGACATAGAGGCAGGTGCCTTAAGCAGCCTGGGACAAAAATCTGATGCTTTAGTTTGAGAGGGCTGTGACACCTGCACTGTGGGCACGTCATTCTCAACTCATCCCACCATGCTCCTTCTCTGGCCACCGGAGAGAAATAGGCCTTTTCAGATGTCTCATTTCAGGCTGAGATGAGCCACAGCCCAGCGGACGTGTCCTACCTCACCACATCAGAGGTAGCCCACCCCCCAGGTTGCCCCAAAATCATGTGCTGGTCCTCCCAAACCACCATATTTCTGCCCTCTGGGGATGGCAACCTTGGTGGAGTGCAGCCCAGCCACCAACCCCCAGCTGCCTCAGCGGCACCGGACCCCCGCACCCATGGGAGACGTGACCGCACGTGCCACGGACCAGCATCTTCTCCCGGCGGAAAGGCGACAGAAGTCTGACTCGGTTCCTCTTCCACCCCCCTCCATCGCTCTGATATAGCACCTCTTCTCCTGTTTGTTTGAAGGACTCCCCTCTGCACGGAGAGCCAATGAAAGAGAAAAAGGATATTGAGCCAGTGGAAGGCAAAAAACAAAGGCTGGCCAGTGTCACCAGCAGCGAGAGCTTCGCGAGCTCTGGGTTCCAGGAAGATAAAAGTCTGAGTGATGTGGAGGAGGATGAGGAGGGTAGGTATTAATTCCTTCCTGTCCCTACATGGTCTGTGATATTTTTACAACATACTGTGCATCCCTGAAATTTTTTTCCTCATTTATCACCCTAATAAACATCCGTGGGAGACGCACACAGGGTCATGTCCAGAGGGTAGAAGATTTAAAAAAAGATTATTTCCAGGGTTACTAAATCTGACAGGAAAATGTGTGATTGTTTCTTCTGACTGCTCCTTATCTTTGGGGAAAACACAGCAGTGTCCAAAGCACGGGGTATAAAGCAAGCATTATTTTTGTTTCCAGTGACAGTGAGTTGACCTTCGAATACTACTCTATGAAGACTGAATTTATGGGAGTAATAGGGTCAGTAAGAGAGGGGGGAAATAATTGCTTTGTGAGCGATCTCAACAAACTGCATTTTGCACCTTTTGCAGATGCTGATGAGCTCTACAAGTTGCCCCTCACTATGGAGGACCTGATCTCTTACAGCTTTCAGGTGGCCAGAGGCATGGAATTTCTCTCCTCCAGAAAGGTGAGTTTCACGCTGGGGATTTTTTCCCTGCAGAAGGATGGGATTCAGAGGTGAAATCACGTCTACGTTTTAGTGACACCTTCCTTGGGAGAGCTCCCAAAGGAAGAGCCGCTTTCCTCTTGGCGTTATAAATATAACAGCGTGTTTATCCAAGTCACCATAGTCCATAAACACAGGATCATGGCTGAAGGCAGTGGGTCAAGCTCCTTCATTCAGGGAAGATCTTTTGGGTGTGGTGGGTTTTTTTCTTCATTTCAATATATATTAGGTAGGGAGCTCCAAATGAATCAGCGCTTTCCCTGCAAATGTCAAGGATCTTAAAAATTTATCATTTCTGGACTTAGGAATTTTTTTTTTTTTTTAAAGAACTGCTACTTTTTACAGTAATTTCATGTAAACTATAGTCAACTTCCCTAAAGAAATATTAAATTGATCTCTCAAATAATAATTTTTAAAAGGATATGGGAGACAGTCAGGAAATTTGTGGGCAGCATTAAGGAAATGCAGTTTGATTGTGAAACTGTTTTGTTATAGTGCATTCACCGTGACCTGGCAGCCAGAAACATCCTTTTATCTGAGAACAATGTCGTGAAGATCTGTGATTTTGGCCTCGCAAGAGATATTTATAAGAATCCTGATTATGTGAGAAAAGGAGATGTAAGTCAAGATGCTGTTTATTTACCCAAATGTTTATAACATATCATTTCAAACTGTCCACTAAAATGTTCTGTAGACATTCACATTTCCTGAACTTAAAAGAGCTTGAAAGCTATCACAGTTTTTATGTGAAGATGAGCTATCCAGATGCGTTGTAGAGCTGGGAGGCATTTCTATCCTCAAGCATAAGGCTTGGACACGCTAATGGTTTCACAGCTCTTCCCTGTTAATACTTTAGATATTTTTTAGGCATGTTTCTCGGCTGGCTCAGCATAACCCCCTTACTCAGTAAATTTCCTTCAAGGAAACCGGTCCCTCCGAAACAAGGTGCGTGTCCCCACGCCAGGACCAAGTCCCGCTTGTGGTGCCTCAAGCAGCCGACCTGGACTCGCTGCCTCCAGCACCTACTCATTGGTTTTTCGGTTTTGTTTTTTTTTTTTATTCTGCTGCAAACAGCAGGCAGTAAGCCCCCTGCCAGGCCTGCTGTGAAGGCTAGGTCAGCAAACCATGCACTGATGCTGTGGGAATTTGATGTGGCCATTGGGGTCACACAGAGAGTCTCCTTCTGGAGGTCTCACCCACCTGCCAGCTATTCCCTTGGCCATAAATAGCTTTCAAGACTTATAGCACTACATACTAGCTGGGAAACGTTGTTCACATAACTTGGGTACCGCTCAGGAGACCCTAACAGGCTGCGCTGGGGGGACTTCAAGGGTTGCTGATATACTCCTGTAATTCAGGCTCTGAAAATTTCCCCGAGAACATCTCCCAGCACCATCACACAATGATTTGCGCTTGGATGTAGGGTTTTCTCCCCTGTCTCTACGATGCTGGCAAGATACTTCTGCTCTTGCTTGTCCCCACATCCCCATAAAGAAAAGGCCTGGTCACAGGTTTCCAATGTCTGGTGTTTTGTGCCACACATATTTTAAGAACAGCCTTTTACTCTGACAATTTGTTAAGAAAGTGTCTGAATGAGTGTGGGTTTATCTTGACTGCCTGTAAGGAAATCCCACACGTTCCTGTTTGAATGGTAATTATTTACATAACAATATATAGTTGATTCATCTATGATTAAATTCTTTTAGGCTTTGAAAATAATAGTCAGGTTTGTCCCTTTTACTCCAGGCCCGACTTCCTCTCAAGTGGATGGCTCCAGAATCCATATTTGATAAAATCTACAATACAAAAAGCGATGTGTGGTCCTACGGAGTCTTGCTGTGGGAGATATTTTCCTTGGGTATGTTAACTCTGCACCCCAGGAGCTGAACTCAGCAGCGGGAACTTCAGTCAGGGGAAAAAAAAAATCCATTACCTTCAACAAGCTTTTGCCAGGTCTTTAATAAGAAAAGACCTAAATCAGGCAGAGGTGGGGCATGAGGGTAGAGGGGAGAACTGTGTGTGTCACACCCCTGTGAAATGGAAATTTTGGTGCTTGTAAGGGCACTGAAAGCTGACCTGCCAGGCTGAAAGCCTTAATGGATAGCAGAGCTATCTGAGAACTTTATCACCTATTTCTGCCACGGGCAAAACCTAGGCGTCCCTCTTTTCCTTGTAGAAGCCCTTCGTAGAGATGCAGGGCAGCACAGGCAGAGCAGTCACGGTGTTCTGTCTGACCGATGGTGCAAACCAGGAAAATCGAGCAAATATTTAAGTGTTTTCATTAAATGTGGAACCCTGTGGGATAACCCGGAGCTGTGGGCCTGCGTTGGCAGCTGCCAGGGACCGCGGCATCACCTCCTGTGCCGCAGATCGCATTCCAGACACTGAGAGCCATGGGCTGGGTGCTCCCTCAAAAGCTTCTTACTTCTTTTGTGGGAGCAAGGGAGCTGAACATACACAGAGGTTTTTGCATGTCTCGGATTGTGTCACCCCCATTTCCAGCCTGAGACCAGGGGGTCCCCCCAGTCCAGGAGGGACCCAGCACCACCCTCACCCCTGGGCCGCTGGATGCAGCAGACGAACAAGCATCTGCACAGATGCCACAGGATGAACTAGAGCATGCAATCCAAAATTAAAACCCAGTGAAGCTCCCCCCCCACCCCTTTCTTTCACGTGGAAAAGGCAGGATACAAGATGTACACTGAGTGGAAACAACAATGACCATCAGAATAGAAGAATCTTAATTGGGTTCAACATAGAGGCTGACAAAAGAGGCAAACAGCAGAGGAAACAATACTATACAATTCTGAGGACAATCAATCATTTATTAGTTCAAATACGTGTTACTGGTCAGCCTGCCAACTCTTGTAATTTTATGGTCAGCCTCATAATACCTGCTATTTTTTTTCTTAAAGCCCCAGCTCCTTGAACCTGGCAACTGTCTGACTCTCTGAAAGGTCTTTTTTTTTTATCCTTTCTTTCATTTTCCCTTTCCCATATGTTTTTTTTTGTCTACAGAAAAAAGACCAACAACACGATCAGGCTGCGTCTTAAAAACACAGAAACTAGAAAAATAATGCAAATGTACTGTGATCTGATTTAAAACCATGATTTTATTATTTTCAAGGTGTTTTGAGCATTTGGGGTTTGTTAATACTCTGCTTACTAGAATTTGGGGTGGTCCAAACCAATTGATGGATCAGACTTGGCTTTTCTTGACAATACTTTTCAAGTCAAATTCATGTGTATTTTTTGCATTCAGGCCAGGTAAGCACCACCAATACTGCTAGGTTTGATCCTGCCCCCCCCCCCACTAAGGACAGGGCTTGGAGCAGCAGCAGCAGCTCCCTGCCTGTGGCATCTGGCAGGGGCCAGACCTTGCGGGGGGGGGACACACACGACCCCAGACTCCCAGCTCTGCAAGCAGATGCTGCTCCCCCCAAATGTTTGAGGGGGTTGCGTGGGGCCAAGGCTAGGTCATGGGTACCCAACCGAAGGCACGTACGACCCTCTTCTCCCGATGTCGTCCTCAGGTGCCTCTCCTTACCCCGGAGTCCAAATCGATGAGGATTTCTGCAGCAGACTAAAGGAAGGCACAAGAATGCGAGCCCCGGAGCAAGCGACCGAGGAGATGTAAGATGCCTTTCTCTGCTTGCCTTGTATCTTCTTGCCGTCGTCAGCATTTCTCGCATCCCACCCGCCGACCCTTGGCCCCACCGTGGGGTAGGAGAGGGTGAGGAGGGACGTGGACCTGAGCCCAGGGCATCACCGGGGCTGGGCTCCGAGGGGAGCTGAGCGAGCAGCCCGGAGGAGGAAGGTCATTCGTTCCTCTCCAGGTTTAATATTTACTGACGCTCGCACAGATAAGTGCTGGAGGAATGTGACATTATTAACATCGTCTTGACTTAGGAAGCGGCGGCGGAGGCTTCCTCGCAAACACTGGGGTGACGTGGGTCCACCCTTTCCCGGAGACGGTGTCTGATGGCAGAGGAAGGTGACGGGGACCCGCAGCCTCCCAGCCCGTGTCGCCTGCGGGGTTTGTCTCAGTCCTTCCACCGCAACGTCAGCTGTTTCTCCCTGGTCCCCTGTCTTCAGGTGCTGCTGCATGGCCAACACCTTTTTGGAGGCTTGCGGGGGGGTCTGAAGGAGACCCCGAGTTTGCAGCCCCTCTGCCCTGGGAGCAGGACGGAGCGCCCTGCCCGGGGAGGCACCTGCAGGACGGCAAACGTGCGGCCCGTGGCACAACTCATTCAGGAGCGTGAATGTATCCAGGGTATTTTACCTCTGGAGGCAAAATCAAGTACGTGTAGGTGTCTTTGGTGCTTTTTTGAGTGCTATGTCACGACTCTAAATAGCAACACTTACCAAAAAAATTAGTTCTGGAAGAAGAAAAAGGATGCGAGCCAGCCATGCCTACCTGGGAGTATTACCCACTGGCTAATTTTATTATCCTAGTGACAGTAGATAAGAGCTTTTTTTTTTTTTCTCTTCCACATATTTTATTGCAGGAAGGAAAGCTTGACTCAACTAATACAAGGAAGTGACACACTCATATAAGTCATCTTAGGATGCCTTAACTTAAACATTGCCAGTTAATAGATGTTTAATACAAAGGTTTAATGCTTAATTAGGAATAAAAAAATAAAGTATGACTAGTTGGCTAAATTATTCCTTTGATGTGGTCTTCCCAGTGTCTTGTGGGAAGAAAGTTTTTTTTCTTTTTCTGTGAAAGTTTACTCGTTTACTTTTAGTAAGAGGCCTCGTGGTGTTGGAGAGCATCTTTGTAAAACCAGGCAGGCTCAGGAGTTAACTCTAGCGATGACAAGCCGCCAGAGACTGCGCTGCCTTGGATCAAAGCGAGCTGTAACCCCACCACGTGCTCGTTCTGCTTTTGTCCTCACAGCTACCAAATCATGCTGGACTGCTGGCGAAGCAATCCCAACGACAGACCAAGGTTCTCCGAGCTGGTGAAAAAGCTGGGCGACCTGCTGCAAGCAAACGTCCAGCAGGTACTAACATCACGACCACGTGCTGCAACCACGGCTGGGGCGACCGGCCAGTCGGTCCCAGGAATAACGCTTTCTTGTTTGCATTTAGGAAGGCAAAGACTACATACCCCTCAATACGATATTCACAACGGAAAGCGGGTTTCCCCCTGCATCTGATCCTTTGTGCAATGAAAATTTTTCTGTTACAAGCTCAAGTTGTGGAAGCACTGAAAACATGAGGTGAGATGAGCAAGACTAAGACCAAGTTTGTTTGTTGGGTTCTGTAGCTTGCTGCATAGCCTGGTTTGCACCTGGATGGGAGAAAACCCTCAGAGACACCCCACGTGGCTTGAGCATCCCTCCAGCCACCACCGCCGTCATCCCGTTGGGCTGGGACAGCCCTTCGGGGTGTCCTTGCCCAGGGGGACCACGAGGTCTCGGGGTTTGGGTGCTGTGAGAGGGGCTGTGCGTGCCCCAGGGCTGGGGAATGAGGTTTTGGGTAGAGTCTGGTTAACAAGTCCCTTTTGTGTAAACCACCTCGAGGACAGTTAGGCAACTGCTTAAAGAAAGAGAGAAATACCCAGTGCTTACGCACTTCACACTCTCACCGAAAATTGTCCTGCTTTTCTTGTTCAACAGATACATAAACACTTTCAAAATAAAACCACCCCAGCGCATAAAGACGTTTGAGGAGCTTCCCATCAAGGAAACACTTATATTTAATGTAAGTGACTCCTGGGCCAAATGGTACGCCATTCATTTCTTTTTATTTGTGTGACAGATTTATACAGAGAGAATCAAGATGGGGTTTTACTGCTTCGTCAGCTCTACCGATAAGAGGTGGAAGATTAGCTGTGCTTGCAGCATAGTGTTATCCCACTGTCCTACAAATTGGGGTCAGCAGATCCTTGCTGACCATGCCATGGGCTACGAACACTCCTTCCCTGATAAGAAATGGCCGGTGCCAGCAGGCCTACAAGGTACAGCTGCCAGAGTCCCACCTGCGTCCCACTGGTGTGGGAGAGCCACTTAAAATCCCTCGGATTTGTGTTTTCATCTGAATAGTAGTGCGCAAACGAGAATTGTGAGTCACATTTCCATCAGAGGTCCCCAGTAGGAACAAGTCCTGTTATCAGGTGGGCAAGCTGAGGAAAACTAACGGGGCACACATACTGTCCTGGTGGGGGTGGGCACGGGTGAGAGGTTGGGGGAAGCTATTATTGACCCAGTTGTACGCATTAAGTGGTGCAAGGCAGGAAAGGCACGGTTGCGCTCGCAGGGTTGAATTAGCGGCTGGCCAGAACCTCACCTTGCAGGTGGACACTTTTTTTTTTTAGCACTCTGTATCTGTGTTAACAGCATGTGTGTTTGCTGCACCCCAAAGCAAGGACAGTTTGGAAAGGCACCATTAAATACCCGGGCACTGCAGCACCTCCAGCAGCATGGAGCCGCTGTCTCCTAGAGCTCTCCGAGTATAAATGACCAAACGAACGCTGGAAATCAGACCGAGGAGGAATTGAGTCCATTGTAAAAGTAACTTTCTACCATTAACACCTAACAGGATTGCATCTTTCTTTTTAATTCAAGGATTATCAAGCAGACAGTGGGATGGTGCTGCCTCCAGAAGAACTGAAACGCTTCACGTGGACGGGCAGCAAGCAGAAACGGACGCTCTTTGGGTCTGTATTTTATGTTCCCTTCTTCTGCTTCATGTTTTAGAGGGCGAAGGAGGATTCAAGGTCCTTGTGCTCAATCATGCCTAATGAAAGTAGCTGAGGCGTCCCCGGTCCCTGCAAACACTCTTGCTGAGGTGTGTCCTGACGGGTTGAGTCAGCAATCAGTCATCTCCCACACCTAACCCTCCATATGCCTTTGAGGAAACAAATAACACTCAACCCCTTCAAGGCACATCACTGATACGACTCATTAGCACTCTGTTGATCAGCCTGATCCTCAGCTTAATGCCAGGCTGGACAAGTGAGTGCCAGAGAGCACTAAACCGAGGTAGAAGCAGGTAAGCGTAGGAAACAAGCCCTTGGCAAGGGGGAGGAGGAACGTGTGGCTGTGAAGGATTTGCAGTTGTTTCTGCAAGTCCCCAAGGGCACCCCAGCTGAGACAAGGCTCCCCGTGCTTGTTTTTGCCCTTCTTTTCCATGACTCAGCTAAGCATGGCCCATTTAACACCCATGGGCTCAGGATGCTAAAGTGGCAACTTTACAATAGATGGATGTGAGAGCCTCGCTTCTCTTCCTGCCTTTAAGCACTGTAATATATTGGCCACCTTCCTCCACCTAATTCCTGACAGCTGCCCAAGCAGGGAACTAGGGCTGCTCTAAGAAATACGTTGCACTGACATGAACTCTCTGTAAATGGGAAATGTTTATTTTCTAAACGCTGGCGGTGTCTCAGTTCCCAGCCGCTGTGAAGCTGGCAGCGGCCGTGGCTGGTTTCGGCTCACGGCTCTCAGCCAGCCCGGGGACTGCCCGACCCAACCCGTCGTTCGTCTTAACCCTGGCAGGAGGTCAAGGCCATCCCGCCATCCTGCCTCTGCTGAACTTGTCAGCAACTCGCAGCTGGGCAAGCTGGGAGGTGTAGTATTGTCTCGACGAACAATCGGAGCTGGCTGAAACGTGTGGTCAAGGCAGAGAGGGCTCGCTTCGAGAAAAAATTCCAGTGACTAAGAGGGCGTTGGTTGAACGCACAGGAATGCATCTACGAGAGCGTGCACGCTCACACGGCCAAGATACACGGCGCGCGGGGTAAACGTGCTGCTGGCAGGAGGCTGCAATGGAGCGCTGCTCATGCGTGGCAAAGCCAGGGCGATTCAAGCCACTCCAGACAAGTGCTGGAAAACCCTTTCTCCTGCCTTGACGACTCACATTTCAGAAGAGAGGCCTGTGAGCAATATTTTGGTACTTTGACTTTATTGAGACGGTTTTCCATACTCTCTTTTGAAGAGCCAGGTATTACAGAGCTTGGAATGAGTGTGGATATTAGATGGCTCCAAAGGATGCGATGTTTCCTAGGAGTGGTTTAGCCTGTTTTTTTTGTGTAAATGTGACATTTCTGAAGGCTGCTGTCAGCCGCAGAGACAACATGGCAAAATTTCCCCAACTGAAATGTATGAAATGCCTTTTTCTTTGCGTGGCATGGAATACATGGAGTGTATCCCAAGCATCACTCTGGAACTACTTTAAGGAGCATTTTCAGCTGCAGAAGGAAAAGGAATGCTTGGATAGGAAAAAAAATTGAACTCTACAGTGGCTGCTAGAATGTAAATCCTTGGGGAAACAGAGCAGTTGCCTGAGAACATACAAGGTCATCTGGTTGCAAGCTAAACAAGTGGTACTGTACCGCTATGCCAAAAAGCAAAAAGCACTCACGTATGTGAATGCACGCAGTGACCCTTTAGTCTGCACACGTTGCTAAAAGTGGTGGCTTCTTAGCTAAGCATCCTTTACTTAGGCTAAATCGGAGCAGTAAATAAATACCCCTGAAAGTAGCAGTAGAAAGGTAGAGCCCGGCGGGGTTTGACACATGTAAGCTGGTCTAACCAGACGCATAATCCTGCTTCCTCCCTTGCATCTCAAGCATCATTCTCTGCGGTCTTGCCCCCTCTCTTGCGCTGACATTTCTGCTCGGCTTGCCTTGCGGAGAGCTGGTTCAGGTCGCTGGATTATCGACAGAACGGCCCCAGAATAGGTTCTGAGCAAACCTCAACGCTGCAGTTTAGGACAGACACACAGATGCGTGCCCTCGCACCGGCGCCTGGGTCCTGAGCCGACGCTGAGGGTGCTGCGGGGCCGTGGCCGTGCTGGTTCCCCCCTGGCTTGCCTGCCTTCCCCTGGGCTCCCGCATTTCCCTGCTGCCCAGGGCAGAACGATTGGGGTTTTTTTTCTCACTTTGAAGCATCCGAAACCCCACAGGAGCCAGCCAGGCGGGGGGGATGCTTTCGGACCAGCAGAAGGGTGCGTGCGTGCCCTGCAGCGCGGCGTTAGAGGATTCGGACTTGGCGGGGCCACATCTGCCGGTGCATCTTACCCATCCCCAGAAGCGCACCCAGGGTTTTGTGTCAGAGGAAACTGATCGGTTGAGCCCAGAAGAGAGCCAGTGCGTGCACTGGTCCTTACTCAGCGTGACCAACCCAAGAGCCAGGACCTGGGGAAAGCAGCGCGGGGAGCCAGCTTACCTGACAGTGCAGGAGTAACCCCCCCGACGCAGGCGACTCCCCTCCCCTTGGATTTCCACTGCTGTGGAGGGAAAGACCAACACACAAAGCTCACCTTTGGTTTCACTACAGGACACCAGCATCACCCCAAACCCTGGGGAGCCCCTCAGGCCCAGGTGGTGGCCAGGAACACAACAGAAATGGTTGCTGCATGTCTCCGACTTGCTATTGCCGTTGAGATGAAAACAAGTGATACTGTCACTGGCATAAAGAGAGATAAGTCTTTACTAACGTAAGGCCTCAGGTAACAAGATCCCAATGGAAAGGTTTGGGGGCAGAGGAAGAACAACCTTCTGAGCTCTGCTCCGTTGCAAGCAGAAAGGATCCCGGTTGCAACTCTCTTCTAGCTTTTCAGTATTGGCGAAAAAGCCCAACCCAAGTAAGCCAAAATCTTTGACTCTGAGTCAAAGCAAATTGCTAAGCCAGAAAAATGGCCAAGAACTGCACCACTTGTGAGCTGGAACAAGCATCTCAAGAGCTGCAGCCAGCTTCTAACCTCACTCACTTCTGGCATCTGTCAAGAAAGCAGCAGCCGTTCCCTTCAAGAAATGATCCCAATTAAAAACCAACTAGACAGTTTCTAATTTACATTCCTAGAGCGGAAAGGAGATAATCCACAGCTAGAGAAGCCTTTACTGACTGTAAGCTGTCTCAAAATGAAGCCTGACTATGGAGCCCCATGGGCTCCCTCAAACCTCTCTGTGGGAGCGTATGCCCAGTGCCCTCAAGGTAAAAATGAGTAGATGCAGCTCTACTGGTATAAAGGTTTATTAATTAAAGTAGAAGCCAAGTCTAGCTCACAAAAAAATTCTCAGAAAGCAAAAGCCTGATGATGAATAAAAGGATCAAAGCATGATGATTTTAAGGCTCATAACTTCGCATGCACACTCCACTTTTGCCAGCCCACTGCTCCCTGTGACTCAAAATTACAATGTACATCACAGAAGCGTTTCTCTTTAAACCAATCACAAAAAGTCCATTGAGTCTGTGACTAACCTTGTCACATAGTTATGGAATTTATCCCAAGGCAGTTACTTGTCCATCTGCCAATAGATGCAATATAGAATTACGGGATGCATCCACAATTCTCATCATGAGGGCTCCTCATGAACTCCATCCATCTACAAACAAATGTAATGGGCTGGTCTTCTTGGGAGGACCTTCTAATTTCCTACAGTAGGACAGACGACAGACACCACAGTCCTTAAAAAGCACACAGGCTTGTGAGTTAAAGATTCAAGAAACTGTGAAATCTAAGAGAAGCTGTTACTTCTCCATTTCTTAATCAGGAAAGGCCCTGTGCACTTCACTTAAAGATCTAACAGTGCAAATTAAAATGAAAAGCAACAAAACCCTGGGCTCCAAAAGCCTCAACAGATGTTCTGACTGTCTTCTCTGGAATTCAAGACTAGTGCTGCCAATGTTCCTGACCTTATAAACGGAGAGGGTTGTAGCGTCCATGAACTTAGAAAAATACAGGGGAGGGAATCTAATTTTAGGCGTTGCGGTCCAACATATGTTTACATTAGGATTTCACATGTAATCGATGATGGAAAATGCTCTGGCCTGTCCTTTGTCTAGAGATCAGTCTTTGGTATCTAAGTTCAATGGTGTGAAAGTTCTTTTTGCCTTAACTTTCATCATTATTGAAAGAGCCCTTTCAAGCACTGCACTCTTTGAATACGGGTGAGAAAGTGCTGCGAGACCATCAGTGTCTTAAGAGTGGCTCAGCTGAGATGACATTAAACCCCTTTCGTAAAGGGCATCTTATAAAAGGCAGCCTACAGGATAACCGGTCCGTTGTGGGAAAGGAAAACTCTAATTGAAACCAGCAGTTCACGTCTACTGCTGAGAGAAGGCTAAAAGAAGTATCCAGACGTTGTGCCCTTCCTCACAAACAACAGCCATTTATCTTAAAAATGCATCCCAGCATTAGGCTTTGGGAACACCTACGCTAGCAGCTTTTGCGCCAAGGCTTGAGACCTTTTATTACTTCACTCCTGCTCAAAAAACCCCCAGTTCCCTCAGGAAGAACATTTAAGGGTGAGGACCCACAGCCCAGCAGCAGCAGGGATGCCAGACACTCCACACCGCCTTTGCCCTGCAATGACATTTCACTCCCTAGCACCTGCCACAAATGAGCAATAGATCTCAGGCTGAGCGATCAAATATTCCCTGTAAGCGCTAAGGCTCAATACTTAAACACAGCCCTTTAACACGAGATGTTCAGTCACAGCATCTCTGGTCAGAAGGGGACTTGAGGGAGACACAGGAGGGCTCTTTCAGTCCTCCGTTCCGCTCTCCCATTGAGCAATCCCGTCTGCATCGATGCCATTCCCATCATCTGAGAATAAACAAAGCTGCTCGTTGTGATGTGGCTTTGCTCAAGTCATTAAAACAAATGCCCGTACATATTAAATACGCTCACAGTGATGCTGCTCTGTTACAGCGTGAAAGGTGCCAGCAGGAGCAAGGAGTCGGTGCTTTCTGGAATAACCAAGCCAAGAAGCTTCTGCAGTTTCAGCTGTGACCAGCTCAGTGACGCCAAGCAAAGATACACATATGGTAACGCGGTGCTGGAGAAAATGAAAGCGTTCCATTCTCCCCCTCCTGACTACAACTCTGTCGTCCTTTATTCTCAGCCACCCGTTTAAGTACTTCTAGGGCAAGATTTAAATATGCATTTAATACAAAACGGTTCTTCCGAAACACTGCCAGTTTAAAAACTTTGACCCAAATCATGTTAATTATCCTAAAATTTAAAAAGATATCATTGGCTTAATCTCAATGATCTGCTTTTCTACAGACTGCATCAAGCGTATACAAAATATAGCAAAATACTAATGCTTAGGCCTTACCTTTCCCAATGCTGAACATCAACAGCTGCCACTAAAATTGCCCCGTGCTTCTGAAAACCTGAATGGTCACCATGACAGAGAAAACCAGTTTGCTGTTTGGTCCCTGGCAGCAGGATGGTATTTCATGCTCTGGTCACCCAGCCTCCGCTCAGCCCCCGTGTCAGGCACCAGGTGAATTTGCAGCCTATTGCTGGGGCCTGCGTAGTGCTGGAAAATAAAGGACTCTCCAAGAAGAGAGAAACAAGAAAAAGACCACGCTCTGTGGTTTTTAGCGAAAACTCTACTTTGAGAAACTTGAGGGAAGGCTAATGCTCCGGGGAAGCTGGGTTAGCTAGCTGGGGATGGGGCATTACACGGCTCTTACTGCTTTGGATGGCAAACACGGTAAGGAGTCTTGCGAGGCAAGAATTTCAAACGCGTGTTGCAAAATATAATTGGCAAGGATAGAGGAGAACTAAGATCAGAGCCAGGGCTGCAACAACAGGGAATACATATCAATTCAGTTTGGACAAGCCTGCTGAAATCAAGTAAATGTTCTTGAAGTTTTGCACTTTGTCAGTATGCCAACACACACACACTGGAACCAAACCACAAGCTAGATATGTTAAAGCCAAGCTCTGTCCACAAAACCTCGTGGACCTTCTAACACTGCACTGATTATATTTTATTTATGGGAATCTGTCTGAAAAGACAGGATGGCTACTAAACTGCATATACTTTAAAGGAATTGATCACTAGAGAGTTTGAAGAGATTAGAAACGAGAAAACAATCTCCTTGGAAAGTTAGGGCAGCTTTTCTATGAAGACAGTTGAATTTCCAGGTTAGTTACCAGTATACGTACAGGAATAAAAATGTATCATTCATTTGCAACCAACTTTTGTATAGTGTCTCAGAAAGGGCATGAGCGTTCTTTGTTCAAGAAATGTAAGGATGCACCATCTCCCTTCAGCTTTGAATGCAACATTAAAATGAGTTGGCCATTTAACACAGTAGCACTGACATCTTTCAAGTCAACAACTACTGCCCAATCTAAGTTTCTTGTGGTCCAATATAAATATATATTCACTAAAATGCTACATATAATATGGTTCTGAACTCTTAAAACTCAGCTTAGGAGCTGTGAATTTAACCCACTAATCGACCAGAAGGTAAATAACCTTTTATGTATTTACAAAGAAAACTGTTCTTGGATATTCAAGTAAAAGAAATATGTTCCGCTACTTCTAAGCTAAGCATCAATTCCAGATCTTCCTGGCCAAGAGATCATCAGTTTTAAGTATCTATTGCACTGTCTCTTGCTGGTAAAGTATATTTGATCCTCATCAAAACAAAAGGAAAGTTTAACTGTTTCTTAACTCCAATTGAGCAAAAATAGTTATGGGATGATGCATCTCAAAGGAAATGTTTGCACAGTGTAAATATATAAATATGCTTTTTGTGCATAAATATTTAAGAAAAATGGACTACAAAGATTACTTTTATATGAATCCCGTAAGTTTCTTCAGATGTGAATAACTCTTATTTTGTCTTGCATTTTCTGTCTTCATATAATGTATTTGACTGCTAAATTCACATAATAAAGTTTGCTTTTGAAAGAATTCAGAGTTCTGCCAAGTGACTTAGTCCAGTGTCAGACACTTGCTGCAGCAGATGATTCAGCACTGGGCAGCACTAACACGTCTGGTGAACAATCCATCCCCTGGGTCAGTTTTGTGAGCAAGGAGAACATGGAATAATTGCACGGAAGGCACACTTCTCACACAGCAAAGCAGATACAGACACTTGTACTGCTCCCCGTGTGAGTGACATCCCCTGGATTCAGCTTATCTAAGAAGTGCTGACTGCTGTCTAGAGGCAAAAAATTCAGCTCTGCCTCTAGAAGAGGCAAGGTTTCACGGTGGGGGAAGACAAAGCAGCCCACTGACGAACATCCATTCCACTGCCCCCCACGCCCAGTTACTGCTGCAGCTACAAGATCTGGTACAGACTAAAGGACAGCAAACAGAGCCCAGGTGTCCCCAACAAAGCCTGCTCTGAACCGTGACACCCGTTAGCACCTTAAGCCTGGTAGATGCTTCTTCAGAGAATCTCCACATCCCCACCCCATCCATCAGAAGCTGGGGATGCTGCCTCCAGCGATGTTCAGCTGAGTGCTCCCTGCTATACAGCATTTTATAATCTGAGGGGAGCTCCAAGCCACACTGCAGATAAACTACACACAAGTGCTGGAAGGAAGCAGAGATGAAAATTTCTCTGGGGAGGCAGAACGTAACGGGATCGCCTACTGCCGCAGGAGTTGTGGAGCTGTTGCTGCACATTACTAAGAAGGAAACTGGAGACCAGGCAAGTACATCAATCGAGCTTCCTGCAGCTTATATAATAAAAATCCTAAACCACTGCAATTTAAGGGATAACGACTCCACGTTAAATGTATGCAGGGAGTATTGACAATTTCTCATATGTTGCACAAAATTTCACGTTACTTAAGCGTGGTCAGGATTGGATGGCCATAGGAGATTTTGCCCCACCAGTAAATCATCTCATCTTTGCTGTTTAACAATACAGAAGAATAATTTTGGGAAATGAAGCTGTCAGGACTCCACATGCAAATTCTCGGAGACATTAATATGCTTTGTTATTGGGCCAAAAAGCTCAATAAACATGAAAGTAAGGGTACTTCAACAGAGTGTTCAAAATTAGGGCTTGTCTATTAAAGCAGACCTGATCCGTCAGAAGCAGATGGGACATTAGTACGATTCTAGTCAACAACATCTGTAAGTTTTAGTATTCGATATACTATAAGTGGCAAGCACTAAATGCACTTTGTGACTCATGATTGTTTAAACACTGCATTGCAGACAGAGTGAATACAAAAGAAATATGATAGAATGAAATACAATTCCAGCACCAAAGTTGAAATGCCCTGTATCCAACTTCAGAACTTGACATGGTCAAAATAAGGCCACATTATTTCTGGTATTCTTTATTAAAAATACTGCTGTACACATGAAGAATGAAAACAGGATTAAAGATGAGTAACACATATTGGGATCATGACATTAGAACTTAACATACTGGTGCTTTTTAGGGGAAGCAGTTGACACCTGAATTACTGAAACAAGGGCAAATCAAAAATACATAGGTACCCTCAACAAAATATTTACAATATAGTAAATACAGCAACAGAATTTAAAACAGGTACAAAAATTAAAATGACCAACATCAGATGATTTCAAAGGTTGTCCCTTCTGTGCTTTTAGCTGTAAAAAATAGGAAGGTTAGAATTAAATTTCCCATCTGGGAGGGCACATCCTGGTGGCTCTTCTTTTTAAATACAGATACACAATTCTTCCTATGAATGGATCAAACTACAACTTTAGGACAACCTTCTAAATGGAATTAAAATGGGGTAGAAGGGCTCTCCCCAAAAAAACACCCAAGCTGAACTTCAGACTGTTCAAATCATTCCCAAATACGGACCAAATGAAATAAATAGAAAACAAAGCTCAACTTTTTTTTTATTTTATGTATTACCTGACACCAAATATTTTCTGGCTGACATTATGTATGAAAACTTATTAGCTGTCTACCTTTTTATTTTTAAACCAAGTCCTGAGGTTACTAGGGGCTGAAGCAAACTGACATTATGCAAATACACACAGGTTTGCAATTTAGACATGTCTTGCAGAGGGTGGTTTGCTGGTCTAAAAAGGATGAGAATTCAAGCCCTATTTTACCCCTGCCTTACACTTTCACAAAATATTGGTCCACAAATTAAATTTTCAAAGGTTCCCAAACCCCACAACTGAACAGATGATCCCCTTTCATTTTCAAAGAAAACAATACTGGAAAAAACCTCAGCCCGCTTATAAATTAAGCATTTCATATTTCTTCTAGAATACAAGTACTTCTTTTTTGTACAAAAGAATTACAATATGATTTGTCAAAAAACATATAAAAGACAGCTGCTCTTCCTCAAATACATGAGCTAATGATAAAAGACTGTTTTGCATGTTCACTTTTCAAAGTTCCTGTTCCTTTTATATTAAAAAGAACACTCTGGCAACTGTTATCGTTTGAATATTAAACATTATGTTCCTTTTAAAATTCATTCGATCAAATGCAACAATAATCATTTTTTAAACTCAACAACTGATGCTACCTAATGTGGATTCAACCACATTTTCTAAAATGTGTAAAGCATGTCCCTAGTCTTCAAAGCTTTCGATGTGAAGAGAGTTGCTTTTTTCTTGATGCAAGTCTCAAGGCGGAGAATCATTTTAAAGCTTATAAAAGTGGACAGAGAAATATTAAAAACTTCTCTGAAAACTACAAATATTGAGAATTATTAAAATTGATGTCAGTAACATCAGTTGCAAGTGCTTAGAGTCTGTCCTGACCTTTTGAGTTTCCACATTTTCTTCATGGTGAGCACCCAGTGCTATTAAAACATTCAGTGCTGGGAAAGGATAGATACAGTCTTCACTACTGCTTTAAGAAAGGAAATTCCTACATATTTGGCAGTCTTCAGTATCAAAGTGTAGGTGTTTAACTAGAAATCCCATGAATACCCAAGTTTGGAGACAACTGCATGTCCAAATATTAGAAAGGTAATTGAGGAGGAAAATTCCAGACTTTTGAGACTGAATTACTTCAGGAATATTCATGTGTTGAGTATTATCAAAAGTAATATTACTTTGGGCTAAGCAGTGACTGCAAAGGCACAGCAGATCATTATCCCTCCAGATTCAGGCTGTAAAACTTGAAAAGCTCTTGATGCCAGACAACTGCTGTG